ATTTTTCATTGCATATGTGACACTGAGTATCAGACTCTACAGTTTTTAGGCCCACTAAACCATTCATTCTATAGGATTCACTCCTGAACTTCTCTTAAAGGCAGTTGGCACGATGGTTTCCTACTTCGCCTAAAATGCTAGTAGGGAGCTATATAGTGGGGAAATGGCGAAAGAACGGAGTGAAACGGTCAAAATCCGGCGAAGAAAAAGCCTCCGTTCTCAGTGACTTGTAAATCGATTTCGGACGAGTTTCCCGTACGCATCTTGCCAATCACCGCTACCGAAGATACGGCTGCATATGTGTACCCATATATGCATGCAGCATCACGGCCGCTTCATACCAATCCCTTTGCTTCATAATTTGCTCAGCAAATGAATGAATACGAGCGTCAGAAACGGTCGTCCGTTTGTGGGCGGGCGGGCAAGGAAGGCGTTTGGGACGTAAAGTTGTTGCTCAATAGGGCGTTATAGAGGTACCCTCCTTGGAAAAGGCTTCACGCAGCGCCTGTCCGAGGTCACGGAATTCTGTTAAGCCAGTTGTACAAATCCTACACCTGTATAGCGATTCCGTGCCAACTGCCTTTAATCCTAATTATATACATGCATATTGCCACCTTTTTCCACTTACACCACACTTCTCACCTATCTGATTAGTTTGTCAACCCCAACTCACTGATGAGCCTCAGGGGTTGACAAGCAAAGTGATTCGTCTGAGTTGAGGCGAAACGAATCACTTTCATTCAAACATGTTGTTACACACATTTATTACCTTCCTTTTATTTGGAAGAAAGGGGACAAATTGATACAGCACCGTAGGTGGAAGTGAATAGATCCAGACTGGTACGATAGCTTGAGGGCAGTTGGCGCGATAAATTCCCAAGACGAGTAGGATCAATGCGCCGGGCAGGACGCAAATCCGCCCCTGAGCAAACGCTACATAGCGGTTTTCTTCAAAGAAGGATACCTCTATGAGGCTCTATCAAGCTGCGACCCAGACGCCCACCGCGCCCGCCCGCCCACAAATGGACGACCGTACCTGATGCTCGTATTGCTTCATTTGCGAAGTAGAATATGAAGCGGAGGGATCATCTGCAAAGTAGAATATGAAGTGAAGGGATCGATATGAAGTGCTACATGGATATATGGGTGCAGACATGCAGCCATATCTACCGCAGCGGTTATTGGAAACTGCTTTCTGAATCATGAAGAACAAATGACTTTTCTTCGCTGGTTTTTACTTTCTACTTCGTTTTTCACCATTTTCCCATCTTTAGATGGTTATGGTTATTACAGCTTGAATTGTTAGTAATGCCACTGACACCGGCCAGTGATTCTATTTTTGGCACTGTTAAGCATGGCTGACATTCAGTTGAGCGGGTGGTCCAGTTCGGTGATTTGAATCATGGGCAGCCGTCTGAGCAGAGAAATAGACGACGGCTCATAACCATTTCACATCGCCCTTTCTCCCAGCTGCTGCCTCTATACCTCTGTTTTCCATTACTCTCAGCATATTTTCGATCACCCTTCCTTTAATATTTGCTTTTGTTTTCACACTGACCATGGGCTTCCTTTCGAAATCTTTTTTCTTTGGAAATAATAGTCGACTCCGGACCTACAGCGTATCACTTAGTGTACGCACGCGAGGCAATCACCACATCGTGCGATTTATTTAGAGTGGCTTGAAACCACTTGTTCCGTGATGTGCGCACTGACGTGCATTATGAAGGCATGCAGGCAATCACAGATGAGAAGCCGAGGCCAACTTTTATTATGGATTTCCTCTTCAGAGGCAACTTTCTGTGCTGATCTTTATCATTACTACTGCGTTCAGCTTGACAAGTTATCATGCCGTATAGCAGAGTGTGGGGCTTCAATAACGGAGTTGGAGAAAAGAAGAACAATGTTGGAGATGTCAATCAACGATCTTGAGGGCAGTGTATGTGTGAACTTATCACTTAGTTGCCGAAGTTAATTCTGTAAATCTGTCAGAATTTAGATCAGCTATTTTTAAATGGATTGCAGCATGCTAAACGACGAGTCCTTGAAGACCAACTGACTCGAATGCTGGTTGTGGGCAGAATATCGAGTGTGGAGAAGGAACTTGCCGAACTGGTCTGTCCCGGCGAAGAAAAGGATGTTATCTACAAAGAGCGGGATGTTAGTTCCTTCAGCATTGCTTCTGTAGAGAGCATATAGCAATCAATCTTGGGTTGTGCCTCTGATTCCATTCTCCCTTGGGATCGTCGTGACATTTGAATGCAGCTCTGATTCTGACTAATTAATTTGGCTAATAGAATGGCTTACTGGGGCCGCCGATGTTGAAAACAAACCCGCGATAGTTATTGATATGAAAAATGAATGTGTAGGTGAACAGCGAAGGGGAAAGCCAAAGGAACAGTGGAAAACCATGAACAGGGCCCATTGAGTGGGCAACTTGTTCGGACTTGCTGATTCCATGCCAGAAAATGGGTATGGCTGCGGTCTTAGTGCATTCCTTGACTCACAATCGTTTCTTTCGCCCTCCAGCCCTGAATCCTGTACAACACATGGAAAAAAAAGAAATAGCATGGAAACAAAGTTCGTAGCATAACTTCAGCTTTGTGAACTTTGCAATTTAGCTTTGAAGTCTTTGGGAATAGCTTTGGAAACTTTGGAAAAGATTTTGAAAATCCTTGTGCGGAGCTGGGATTACCGTAATCTAACGAACTATTGCACAAAGATAATTGTAGCATCGATCAACTGTAGCAGCGTCAAAATGGACCCTGCCTTCTATAATGGTGTGCTTTTCAGTATATGCATCCCTTTTCAAAAAAGCATCAGAGAAAGCAGACTAGTACGTTGCGCAAGGGGGGTAATTTGGAAGAAGACGGGGACCTTAGCTTGGCCGCACACACTATGAATGGCACCTTGTCTACAGAGAGATCTTCAAGGACAAATCTCGAGGTGGTATATTGTGAATAGTGGCGTTCACGTACTAACCCGTTGTCGCCAAATAACTCTCCAGGGAGGAGAAAAGGAAAAAAAATCATGGAGTATACCCTAAGTAAAGACCTGGCAGCCTCTCTGTGCGAGTTGTCCGGACCAGCACGTTTCATGCCAGCAAAGTGATATCCTGCCACCCTGGCTCACTGATCGTTTCTTCGCGTCGTCCTATGCTGACACCATCTAACAGTCAAAATAAATGAAAAAGGCGGTGTAAAAGAGGAACTCGAGGTAGAAAATAGCCTTTGTTTCGTGGGCGGGATAACCGGGGAGGTGTCAGAATTGCCACTTACGAAGACTGCAGCGCCTTCGTTACTTACAGTGAAACCGCGAAAGTGGGATAACCTCGGAGACTGAGGGCCAGAATACTAGTACAAAGAAGACGCCTACGAATCGTGTGAGCGCGGGACTGACACTCTTTGACAGATCTAGTCTTAGATGGGCAAGGCGACAGGCCTCTTATACACCTTCATCTTCCTGATAGCCAAGGAACCTCGCTTATAATGGAGTCGGAAAAGTGGAACAGTCCCGGAGCTCGTGGACCGTCTTGCTATGATAGGGTCTGAATTCTACTGTTGTAGGGGGTCGGTCTTCAGTGCTAGCGTATTTATCTTCTACGTCTGCTTGGGTACCACCTAGTCGAATCCAGAGAAATGAGGAGTTTGAAGGTCTAGCGCGGTACCAATCCGAGATTCCTTGTACAGGGGCCAAGCCTGTACCGGGAGGGGCTGCTAACACTTTGCTTCTTAGCGCGCAATCGAGGAGTGAGTCTGCATTGGCTAGTGAACTTGCCATATACAGAAAGAGCTCTTGAATGTGTTCTCAAAAAGTGTTGTAGGGGTCTGTTTTCAAAGATCCGATCTTCAGTTCAAATGTTTCTCCTTTATTAAACATTTTTTTATGCTAGAAAGCAGTAAAGGAACGAGACGAGTCTGGTCTAGAGAAAGCACGTCTCAAAGGACAACTGGAAGAGATAGAGAAAAAGGTGTTTTTCATTAAATTCATTTTCATCATATTCATTGTTGAACGTTGCCTACTTTAAAAAGTTGACATTATGTTCAGATCAACGACGCCATGATAGCGCTCTGCAGTAAGGAGATGAAACAAGCAGAGAGTCTTTACCATGAAGTTGTTGTGAGCAAGATTGTCACGCAGGAGATGATTTCGGTTAGTAAATTGTGAAAACCGATTTCTTTCCTTGGAACTTGTTCGGACAGCTTTATTGTGTTGCAGGATTTGGAGAAGTACATGCAATGCCTTGACAGCTCGATCATTCAGTTCCACAGCGATAAAATGATTGCAATAAACAGAATTTTGGATGATTTGTGGCGTAAGGTCTACGGTGGCACTGACATTCAATCTATAAGTATCAAGTGAGTAAAAGTTAGGTTTATTCTCGTTTGCTAGAGTGACCTTTGCTGCATCTCACTTTCATACTCGAACCCTACCGTGGGATCAGAAGGCGACGCCGCTGTATTCCAGCAGGAGGAGTCACACAGGACTTACACCTAGGGCGACTTATATGGGTTTGAGAAGGGGCAATCGTTACTGAGAGCCGCTACTGCTCCCCTTCTATGCATGTAACCTTGTCAGCAATATCAACCAAAACCAAACTGAGCGTGGGAATAATTGAGGATGCGCTCTGTACAAAAATAAGATCCCTGACTTCCAGTGTAGCCTCATATCTCTCCTATTTAGCTGTTGCAATACCATGCATGTCTTAAAACAATGAAAACGCAGAAAATCTCTATCTGTGATATTTCGGTTGTTAGGCCCATTACCCGAAACACATACTCATTTCCACTCAGCTTGTAAGGAGCACTGAATTGCTGATGCCATCCATGCTTAACGACACCTTTTGCTCATGAGTGTTGGTACCAAGCATGAATTTGTGTATCCTGTCTGGGTCTTGAAGAAAAACCTTCGGAAACAGGCCGAATGAGGCATTTTCAGCACTAAAGTCTGTGACTCTGTGAATAGAGACACAGTTACACGCGGCTAGCGCGAGGCGTTCATACTTTGCGGCAGCGACCAGTAACGTGCACCGTGACCAGCAGCGTCTAGGAGTGGAGAGAATGGGGCGATGGGAGGGTAGCAGACAGCTGGTACCTCCTATCGCCCATACTCTACCAAAAATCTGCTCCCTCCTATCTCCCCATACTCTACCAGCCATCTATCATCTATCTATCATCAGGTTCTATCATCTAACCATCTATCATTCTTGCTTCGCATTTTCACGACGGAACGGCACTTTTGTGCTGCAGGATTTTTCCTTTCTTGAAGTGCTTACAGGATGTGTTTTTAGGATTTTCGGGATAAATTAGCTGTTCATTTCGAGAAATGTGCTTTCTTCAGATCAGAATGTGCAGCAAGTACAGAAAAGAGGAAGGTTTATGACTACCGGGTAGTGATGGTGATCAAAAATGGTGTCGAACTAGATATGAGGGATCGTTGTAGTGCAGGGCAAAAGGTGTGTCACTTGTACTTAATGTTTCATCTTAAGAAATGACATCTTTATAGGAGCGTTGTTCCATGAGAGTCAGCACTTTTCTATGTACATTGTGCTTCAGCGTAACCAGTTTCAGATGCTGGCATGTATACTTATTCGAATAGCATTGGCTGATGTATTTGGAGGAGCATGCTCAATAATTGCACTCGACGAACCAACGACAAACCTTGATGCGTTGAAGGTCTTTTTCTATTGAAAAAATAAAAATTCCCAAGGCTGCGTACTTTGTGGCAGCGTCTATCAGCAAAAATAGCGTCCACCAGCATTCCGAGTGTCCGGAAACGTCAGCGACTAGGGATTGTATATTAGGTTGTCGCATAAGTTCTTATACACGTGTTTGATCCTCTCCTATTTCGTTCGCATGGATGTTGGTATTACGTCATCACGTGTGCGTGACGTGTACATTATACTCTTTCATTACACTAGCTATCACTCACCGAGCTTGCATTTGCAGTACACAATGTCGCACAATTACCACTGTGACAGAATGTACCTGCGCCACTGCCTGGTTTTGCTTAACGATTCACAAAAGAAGCTTCGCGTTCTCAACTCGATGATCACTGGAGATGAGAAGTGGGTCCTCTACGATAACCCTGTGAGGGAGCAGGAGTGGGTCGACAAAGGAGAACAGCCAGAAGCCACCTCAAAGGCCGACCTTCACACCAAAATGGTTCCCCTGTTCTGTTGGTGGTCCAGAAGAGGCATGGAGTACTGGGAGCTGCTGGAGAAGGGACAGACGATTGACGCTTCCACATACGTGACCCAGCTGCGGAAATTGAAAGATCACGTCGACCGTACTCGTGGAAGGAATGCGGAAATCTACTTCCACCATGACAACGCCCGACCTCACACTGCAAAGGCGACCCAGGCCGAGCTGGAGAAGTACGGATGGCTGATGGTCGCCCACCCTCCCTACAGCCCTGACCTCGCTCCTTCTGACTACTGGCTGTTCAGCCACCTGCAGCGCTATCTGGACGGAAAAAAGTTCGAAACAAAGGATCAGGTCAGAAAGGCACTCGACGACTTCTTCAAGTCCCAGCCCCCGTCGTTCTGGAAGGAAGGAATCGACAAGCTGCCTGAGCGCTGGCGTCGAGTAGTGGATGGTGATGATGCATACCTCTAATCTTCAGGTTGGTTCGCTATTGAGATATTTACGAAAAAATCGTGTATAAGAACTTATGCGACAACCTAATAGATATAGATCCGGCGTCTGTCAACGTCTACTAGCGACCAGCAGCTCCCGGGAGTGGATAGTATGGGGCGATAGGAGAGGTGCAGACATCTGATAGAGTATGGAGAGATAGGAGGGTAGCAGACTGATTGTAGAGAGTATAGCGCCATAGGAGGGTAGCAGACAGCTGGTGCCCTTCTATCCCCATACTCTCTACTAGCAGTCTGCTGCTAGTCGCTGATGCACGCTGGCAGACGCTGGTTCGATATCTATAAAATCCTAGTCGCTGCTGCCGGGTGCTCGGAAAGCTGGTGGACGCTACTGGTCGCTGGTGGACACTGCTGCAAAGTGCGGACGCAGACGTGCTTCCTGGTAGTTTCCTGCGAAGACACGTCCAGTTCTATAGTGGCATTTTAAAAGGCATTAGCAAATTGAGCTCAGGTTGCGCATAAGAGGAACACGTTGTTCCATGTCGCAGTTCTTGCTCAGACTTATCACAGGAATGCTAAATTACGGGCGAGACTTGAATTCGGACACCCATCACACTGCAACATTTCCTTGCTTTTTTTTGTAATGCACTAACTCTCTCATAGAAATACGAAAGCGCATAGAACAACTATAATTTAATGCTATTTAGCCACTCTATCACAGTTTTTTTTCCATGTTCCATGCCTTCGTGTTAAAACGGAACTACGGGTTTTCGGATCATGGTCGTAATTATAAGGAGCCTTTTCCTTCTTTCATGAAACTTTTTCAGGTTGATCACATTGCTGGTATGCTGAATAATCTCATTGCTGTGCGCAGAAGGGGCGAACACAATAGGCAATTCCAGGTGAGCGAGTGGGCGTTCACTAGAGTTTGAGGCGTTTGAGAGATTTCTCGCGATACTCTGAGGAAGTTCAGAGCAGCTAGACCAATCCATTTCCATCAAATGAACCGATATATCGAGGATAGGAAAATCCATCGTGCAAAAAATTTATGGCGCTCTTGAATTTTTCGTAAATTCTGAACGCAAGTGGCAAACTTACCGCGATGTGAAGCGCTGCACGAGAAAAATGTTGTTCTCTTGTCTAGTTGCCGAAATAGTTTTCACCAACACCGCCTGAGAAGAGCACTCTTACCGATTTGTTCTGCCTACTTGGAAATCCTCGGTCACGGGCCGCTGCTCAAGATTGCTTCTTCTAACCGTCATCTTAACTCGGTCGATGCGCTTTATCGAGGGTTGAGTTCATGAAAACAAAAATTTCTGCAAATATTTTTTTAATCTTGAGAAAGTGGATGGGCTTTCGCGACGTTGAACAAATTCATTGTTTTGGTTATCCTACGCAGGATCTCAGTGGAAAAATTGAGAAAAGTCGCACCAAACTCTCTTTCGGTAGTGTGAATTGTAGAATCCGTTTAGAATGAGGATCATTAGAAGCGCAAGTTTGGAATTCGAAATTCCACTTGCTTTAGTGGAGACAATCCGAGATCCTATCAGTGACTCCTGGTGCACCAGCTCAGTGATAGAAAAAATTCAGCTTCCACCTGGAGCTGATGCTTCTGTTATGCTTCATCATGTATCAACTTAAAGTCGCGTTCCACGATTGCAATCCACGTTTGCGAGTAGATAGTAGTGCTGGATAAAGATGGATTAGCAATAATAATTGGCTCGCTCGCCACTAAAAGACACGAATGTGGTTGAAAACGCTTCCAGTAACGCCCTATCGATGTTTAGAATTGGATTGGAAGAGGAGACGTTGAAAGGAGACGCAGAGACACTCAGAGATCGGGCTATATAGGCTAGTGCCACCCTTCCGCACGTGCAAGGGAGAGTACGTCAGAATTCGCAACGCAACGTAGTAGTTACACGTTCATATCTCCGCTTGGTATATTCGGGGCTTCTGGACTTCACAAACCCTCGCCTTCTTTTCATGCTTTTTAACGGCGCAGATTTGCTGCGCTCCTGCGTTTTTTATACGGAGGTTACACCTAAAGGTTTAGGTCAGCTGCTGTTCGGACAAAGAAACTCTTCACTGCCGAAAGTTAAATCAACGAATCATTTCTTTTGTGCATTTCATTGTATACTGATATTTCAGATGATTGTTATCACGCATGATGATCATCTGGTGGGCAAGCTGATGATAGGGTCGAAACCTGAATTCATATATGTTCTCGGGAAGGATAATCACGGAGTATCTCACATAAGACGACAGTATTCAGACGGGTACATTTTTAAAAAAGATTACCTTCCAACGTTTTTTTTGTAGTTATCAGACTCTAATCATTAGTGTCCTTCAGCCCATGTTATGTTTTTATAGCAGGGAATTTCGCATGTGACTGAAGTTTTGCCGACTGAACATTTCGGGCTCGGGTCAAATTGAACTGACGCTCCGTCACAGGGCTTAGAACAATAGACATGCTTCCTATTAGAAAACAGGTTTCCCCAAACCTGCTCCAGCAGAGAGAGAGGACTGAACTGTGAAAGATAGTTTCTTCAGTTTTGCCCTTGATAATGATACCACAGCTAACCGAATGGTGATGCCAACCGTTGCACATCTGTTAAGCACAATAGTGGAGCAATCCTAATGCGATGTTAGGAAACAAGAAAATGATAGTGGTCATTGAAGCAGAAACAAGGACGTCTCGTCACATAGGTGACCTTTCAAGGGAACCTCTCCCTATGCATGTTGTGCATGGTGGTTTTCCAGGAGAGAAGAAGCAAAAAAAAGAATGGAGAACACCCAAACTATGGATCCCCCTTCACTGCACCAATCCTCCGGAACTGCTCGTTTGACGCGAGCAAGCAGATATCCCGCCGCCTCGGGCTCATCCATCATTTCTTTGGTCACATCGCCTTCTCTGTTACTGTGAACCGTGAAAGTCAGATATAGAGACCGAGGACCAAACTAAGACGTGGGGCTGTTTTTATTCCCCTTCATACCTGTCGCATGACTGCAGTACCCTTAAAGCGCAAAACTTTTGGAAACCTCGTGGTGCATCCACTAATTATCGCTCATAAGTTCAAAGTTAGTAGGCTGTGTTGTGCTACTATCGACTATTGAGCAACGTTGCTTTGGTTTATACTTTGTTTTTCGCGGCTTGAGCCTTCAAGTCAAGTTGGTTGTCTTACAATTGGGGTCGCAGAAACCTTGGTGGGATGGATTGAGAGCAGGGTCCAGTTGAAGACAGACTGCTCGTTCACCTCAATTTATCGTGATCATTGCCATGTGTGAGATGAATGGGTCTGCAAATGCAGTGGCATGCCATTGTCTTCGGTCAAAAGTACACGGTAACTAGGGTGGAGGACAGTGATACCCAAATCCCTTCCCCGCACTCCGTCCGCGCTGTCGTGAGCCACACGGCTAACCATAGCCAAACGCTCTGCTTGTCTGGGCCCCTCACTTTTGTTGTTCTCCGTACCGCTGAGGGCGTGCGTTGCTACGAGATCTTGTATCGAAATTAGTGCTACACAACTCCGATCAAAAACGCACGTGAACGGGGCTGGGGACGTGACGCCCTATCCATACGACGCCCGCGCTACCCTCATTGGCGCCTTACTGCAGTTACGGAGCTATTCACCTATTCATACATCTAGAAATGGCCGCCCTCGGAGGTGAGTGCACAACGAGTTGTCTGAGGGGGGGGGGTGCAAGTATCTCGTCACTCCGTACGAAATAAGTTAGAGCGACGCTACATGACCATAATGTATATATCCCAACTACACCCCTCCACCTGCACAGTAACAAGTGCATTCCATTACGCCAGTGATTTTGAATTATGCTCCAAGGGATTGGTAACGCTTCCGAAGCAATTCTAGGCTCGACAACTCTCGAAGTCGATAGTTTGAGACGGAAACAGCTGTTAAACATTCAATACAAAGTTGCGCTCGAGATGTGAAGTTATTAATTTCAATTTCATTCTGGCACTTAGACCGTAATTTATTGACGACCCGTATATGTAATTTCCAGGCGTTTCGAAGAAGCAAACTTAGCCGCAATTGAACAGTGATCTCATCGAAAAGTGAGCGGGTAGAAATGCGGTGATACGGTGTTTTTAATGTCGCGGGTCTTGATTGGCTTTGTCTGCTGGTTGTTCCTCGATCGTCTGTCTTTGGACACGTTGATGCTGTCCGTGAGTGAAATTCATTTGTTTCTCTCGAACATTCGTATGTCGAGAATCTTCTGTTCTCTAAAATGCACTGTTAATACTGACTTTTTTTCACCTACTTATTCTAGAAGTTCGTTTCTTATTTTATATGCTCCGAGAGATATATTTCATACAAGCATGAGAGTGTAGTGTTATTATAAAAATGAATATTCAAAGTCATGAGTTCCTTCTTTTCTGACAGAGTGCGTTAAAAGCACGGTTATCGCGTTGTTCCTTGAGAACTGCATCGTTGACTAGTTGCTCCTTTCCTTTTTCGAATACACACAGAAAGTGAAGGGGTTGAACAAGTGATAAAAGGCCATTCCACCCACTTTTTAGGGAATTCGTTGTAGATTAATTTAAATTTCGAGTTTTATTAACTTCTTTCAATGTAGTTTCGCTTGCAAAAGTACGCATAGGTGCCCATTTACACACTGACACCCTAAGCTCCGCCCCTTGGTCACACCCACTTTTGCGTCTTTTTGCAGAATTTTGATCCTTTTTACATTTTTGGATTGCTACAGGTAGCCGCGACGCCGTGAGAGCATGTTATAGTCTAAACTACCTGGTCAGAGTCTCGCTCATCACGAAATATGAAAAAAAGGTAGACAAGGTTTGTTTCGAATGACAGGCGAGACTCTGGCCTGCTAATTGAGACCAACCTGCTGGTTTGGGTCATTTTGCGAGTATGGGCGGTGCTTTCACGAAGTTCGCGATGTTTTTCGCAGTGGGCGGGACCTTTTAGAGGGTTTAATGAAGGATAAAAATTTCCGCTAAAAGACACAAGTGGGCCTGGTTAAAGGGGCGGAGCACGGTATATGCATGAATGCGCGTCTAGGAGCACGATCTTTGTGTGAAGGGTGGGTATACAAACAATGACGCTAAAGAAAGGTATAAAAATTGGGAACTCGCAACAAATTCCCTAAGTGTACATGCAAAATAGCAGAAGTACTACAAGTCACAAAAACAGCTGTAGAACAAGTCTTGAAAAACCATGACCACGCTCAAAAATGGGGCATTACCATCGGGGTGAAGCTTGTAATAGTACACTTAATATCACCGCAATTGTCGGGTCGCAATCAGCGGTTCTCACATGCGGCGTTTCCATCATTGGTTGTTTCCTTCCTAAATCGATTCACCCGATCGCCATTGGTAGAGCAAGGGAGCCGAACGCGGACTCGAACAGCGCTGCTCGCGCTGCCTCTTACAGTCCGCAATGATGAGGTCTGTACGTGTTGTGGGGTTAATCAGCTGTCTAGTAAGAAGCATGTGTCCGATTCGAATCAAAAAAGGGGCGATTTGGTTTATAAAGCTGCGAACCAATGGAATCATAAGAGACATCGCCAGAGGTATCAAAGGCAGTTGGCACGATAAGTCCCTAAAGACGAGTAGGGTTAATACCCCTGGCAGGACGGATTTTGCGTCCCTTAAAAGGCGCTGCGCAGCGCCCTTTCCAAGAAAGGTACCCTTATAAGGGCCCTATCAAGCTACAACATACCGACCCGAACGCCCACCACGCCCGCCCACAAATGGACGACCGTTCCTGACGCTCGTATTGATTCATTTGCTAAGCAAATTATGAAGCGAAGGGATTGGTATGAAGCGGCCGTGATGCTGCATGGATATATGAGTACACACATGCAGCCGTATCTTCGGTAGCGGTTATTGGCAAGATGTCTCCGGGAGACCGAGTTTGATTTTGAAGTCACTGAAAACGAAGGTTTTCCTTCGCTTCTTTCGCTATTTTCCCCTCTATATAGCGCCATGCCAGCATTTTAGGCTGAGTACCAAGTTATCGTTCCAACTGCCTTCAAGTTGGGAGTAGTGGTTACACTTAACGGCCAGTCAAGTCACTCATGAGTTCAGTCCGATTACTCGATACCTACCTTGCTCAGGAAGCATAATAGTGGCGACATACGTGAGTATCAGAATGCTCATCGTATCGAGTGGTAACTGTGCTGGAAAATTTACTCGATGTCCACTGATTTTCCAGGCAATTGAATGCACGGCGCACTCGGAAGGGTTTGCTCGACGTTGGGCGATATTGCACTCTTGACATTCACTGGGTAATATCCTGCTCAAGTAAATAAATGCATTTGTTAACACATGCCAAACGAGTTTCGGCCACTTGAATCTCACAAACAGTGACGAGGCCCGTGTGTGTCCGCTGCCGCCACTTATCTCGTCTAATCGATGTAGCATGAGATCTCCAGCTCTTGCTCATGATCTCTATTATCCATGAATTTTTTCCCTAGCTGATGCAAACTTTCTATTGTGCCAGACAAACGATGTCACATTTTTCATCGCTCGCCATTTTTCATCGTCTCAGGGTCTCTTTCTAGGTTGAACAAAAGAGCGCAGATGTTTGCGTGGAGAGAACTGAGTGATGTTTTTGTCTATTTTTTTATTCTCCGTTTTCTCCTGCTCCTGCTTTCTCTTTCTCCTGCGAAGGAGAACCTTTCCCGTTTTTCTCTTTAGAAAAAAAGAAAGAGTTTTTGCAAATCCAGTTTCGTAAATAAGGATAGAGAAAATCCTGCAACACTTCGAAAAAAAACGAACCGCTTGCCTAGGGCCCGGGGCAAGCGCAACGCAACTACGCGTAATTTGACGTCCCTCCCCCACACCACCAGTTTCTGTATTCGTCCGGCAGCATATTCGACTTATTTTTTTAGCACTGTAATATTTCGGAGGAAACCACATGAGTCAGCCAGGAGAAGATCGTGACAAATGCGGTGGGTGTTAACAAGAGCAGAGTGCTCTATATAAGCGAAGCACGTAAAAACCAGATTCCTTGAGGAGGAATTGCCTGCTGAGTCGAAGACAGATCGTCATATACGAATTTCAGTGTAATTCGATATGACTGCAAAAGGCTGCTGCTGGGCGCACATAGTCATGACAACCACTGTCCTCACAACCAGCTCCGAAAAATGGTCAAGTCAAGATTCAGGAGTGCCCCATGAAATCATTCTCTACGCGCACGCGCATAGACCAAGTCGAAGAACTATGGGTCTTCCATAGTTAGCTGAGAGCCGCAGACCCAGCAAATTCATCATACTTTGTAGGTTCTCTATACCATATAGGCAGGCTATTGATGTGTGGCCTAGAAAAGAAAAATGGCAATCGAGGTAGTTTGAATAAAGAGTATCCAGAACCTGCTAAGTAATCGCCTCTTCCATCGTATCGCCGAAATGTTAGAGTAGAATTACAAACAAGAAGCTGTAAAGCAGAAGAGCGTTTGTGCTTGCTGCTGCACTCTGTATCCGGTAAACAGATGGGTCTTAATTGTGTACTTGGTGCAGCACATAGCTGTGACTTTTGAAAAACTGTTAATTCCTAAGATGATCAAATACTAACAGGATAAAGTCCTCAGTCAGGCCTTGCCATTTCCAGTGAGGTGGCCACGTGTGTGCGTCTTGAGACGTGAAGTCGAATCTATATTTCGATTGCGAACCGATTCTGCTGAGGGAGTTATGGGGGATATATGGTTGTTTTACATATGGACAGCGGGCAGAACGTGGAGCGTCTACATAAATGTATGGAGTCCTGTCTGAACCGTCAGTAAGAAAGCGCCGGGGATAGTGATTGGATTTATTAGGCGATGACTGTCGTGGGTCATTCCCGTGGGCTGTGCATTTCTGCGTTTAGTGAAGAAATAGCTACGAGGTTTCTAGTATCTGCTCGCTGCTGCCAGCGCAGTAAGTGACTTGCGATCATTTATTTGGAAGTCTAGACCCAATTATGAGCTGATTGTTGAGCGATTGAAGCGGTTGTCGCGTCATGTTAAGACTGTTCAGAGGGGTTTTTGCCACGATATACACGTATTGCATCGTAAAGCGAAGCTAAATTACCGAACAAGTTCTAGCAATTGATATTCTATCGACCTGACATGGCAGAGGTGTGATTTTATAGGTAAGTGGCAGCAGCTGGATTCAGTCCCGCGTCGATGACTGGTGCTCGGAGGGAGTAGAATTTCTCTCCGATATCGGAAATGATTGAAAAGGATGAACGATTGAGCGGCTCGGTTCTGTGCGTGATTGACCTGATGAAAGTTTTTCAGCTGAAGACCAGTCATACATCGCAGTAATAGTCGTGATATCGCTGTTGGGCTTAGCGGTTCGCGATGACCAGCTTACCCAATTTTGTTTCGAGAAGGCTGAGGTCGAGCGGACCTCAGATTTGCCTATGCGTCTCTGGGGTTATTGACTCCCTGATAGAAGGATATGATCCCGTTGGCGAAAGCGGATTTGAGTGGCTACAGGTGCATGTTTGGCGCAGGGAGCCGCGAAATAAAGAATTGACACTAAAAGTCATAACCGTCAAAGATTTCGTCAATTTTTGGATAGCTCTGAGTTCACGTCTCAAGCAAGTACCGTGACGTGCCGTCATTGCATACGGCGAGGCTGCTGATTTTGACGCTTCCTAGTAAGGCTTGAAGTCCGAAGGAATGAGTACTACTGAAATGGAGGAGGAATTCCTGAGAAAGTGTCATGCGTGTTACCAAGTACGCATGACGATTGTGTCACCCCGGCTTATCGCGACGTGATGAAAGAAATAATTCGCCGTCCGTAGGTTCCGTTTTTCTATCATTATCGTAAGAAGGCGTTTACCTAAAGAAGTGCTTCCTTTCATCCTGAGTGACTAACAAAACCGCAGATACCGTTTGCCGAACAGCAGGAAATGTTTGCTGAACAAATTTCTGCGTTGTATATATGTACTTTACATTTGGTAAAACTAAAGGTTGTTTGAAAATTATTCTGCTGGCTTCGGCGTAACAGTTCATCTTCGACGGGATATGGTGTTACTGGGTGTCTGATTATTTATTCAAATTGGTTAGTTTCTAGATAGACATCTTCGAAGAGCAT